CAGCCCCCACACAGAGCAAGGAGCCCTGCCAGAGGCCGTGGAGTCCTCTGATCCTTGTTCCTCTCTGGAACACCCCACTGCAGCCACCACTACCCCGTTCCCACCCGTGGCCCTGGGCGAGGAAGCTGGTGCCCTTCAGATAATGGGGGGGGATGGAGGAACATCCTGCATGCTGGTTGCTGTCCTCTCTCTCCTTCCAGCAGGACCTCAACCCTGGTTTCTGCTCCTTTGTGGGGCGTCGCTGGCGCCCCAGAACAGAAGGGACCCCCCTCAACTCCACCCAGGCGGCTTTCGAGAGCCACGCGAGGGCGAAATGTGCTGCGTGAGGCTTTCTTGCCGAGCCAGGCTGAGAGTTCGTATATGCTCACACGGGCTGGCAGCTGCCCTGCAGAAACTCAGCCAGGCCCCTTTCTCAGCTCCTACGAAGGGGCTGCTGCCGGGGAGAGACGGGGAGGAGGACCAGGGATGGAGGAGAGCCCCTTCTTCTCCGCCAACCCTTCTTCCTGGACCCTCTGCCCGGGATTGTCCCTGCGGGCAAATGTGTGCGAATCGGATGGATCTATGCAAACTTCCTCCTCTTTCCGTCCACAGCCTGCCTTCCCTCACCAGCAAAAAGGCAGGAGAGGAGGAGGAGGCCATCGCACCGCTGCCTTTCCTCCCAGGGTGTTAAAAACCACCGTTGGCTTGAGAAGGGGGACGTTTAGGGCCTTGGGGGGGGGGGCGTTACAGCCTGTTTTTGATTAGCTCCCAGCCTTTCTCTTTCCAAGACATGTTTGGCCCTGGCAACGGGACCCACCCCGAGAGGGGGAGGCCTTCTGTAAAGAAAGGGAAAGCTTTTTTGGGGTGGGGGGAGGAACTGGCAGGGGGGCACAGGGGAGGGAAGAGGAAAATGGCAGAGCTTCCTAATAAATAAAGGATCTTTTCCTTTCAAATTAAATCTCAGACATACGCAGAGTCCAAGATTCCCTGGAAGAGATCGATACTTTAATTTAAGGCACTTGGCTAAGTTACACAGACACACACAACCTTGCATCAAAGGAAGCAGGAAAAGAAGAGAGGTTTGGTCTTTATCCCAGGAAGTTATGACAAAATGTTTATACAGCTCTATTTTAAAAACATTTATCTATCTATCTATCTATCTATCTATCTATCTATCTATCTATCTAT